ATATTAGACACACAAGCTGCATGAAAAAATATCTTTTATTGGACTGCCTTCTGTAGGTGAAAAAGATACTCTTTTGAGCAACACTCTCACCCCACTTTATCATCAGAAGGCAGTCCAAAATACATTATTTCACCCCATCCCCTTGTATCTCATAGTACACAAAGTTAAGCATATTCTTTAACTCTTTGCAGGATCAGGTCTGAGCATATGTGCACAGACAAAAACTTAGCATACCCCCCCTAAAATCTTATACTAGAACTGCAACCAGAGCTGCTATAAGCAAAAGCCTTACTGATGACAATTAGAATGAAAAAGTATGTTTTCAAATTCATTTCACATTTTAACCCACACAGAACAAAACTATATGCATCTTATGTACATATTGGACTTGCATGAGATCATATACTGTCATGATTTTATATGGAAGTGGCTTTTTTATATATTACAACTCCACAAATTTTGCACACACATAACATCCTATTTCTGCTCATGAAACACACTGTTCTTTCCACATCATGGTAATTCCTGCCTTTAAAATCTTCCAGACACTGAATTAAGCAAAATGAGTGGATTTCTCTTTCATGGGCCTCTGTTAAAGAAAAACAAATTTTATATCTATATTCAAGTTAAGCTGGAAGTGGTATTCTTAAATCATTATGCCTATGTACTCCACATGTCTCAGAACCAAATCTCCATATTCTACCTAGCCACAGTGAAGCACCAGGTTAAGGTAACTGCTGTTGTACAAATCCTTAAAGTTACTGACTGAGGAAACTAGTTAACTACCAGGTGAATGATACTAGAGAATTGCCTGTTTTCTGTAATTACTATGTGACCACAGTGATTCTGTGGCTGAGGGAAATTTTCTAGTCACCGAGATCTAGGGCACTGTGGGATGAGGCTGAACAAATTCCAGTTTACCTTGTCTCTGCTGATAATCCTTCCTTATCCTCCATGTCCTATGGTGGCAGTCTCAGAGAGACTCACCACCTGCACTACCGGCTGTCACCTAAACCTCAGGCTCCCAGTGAAGGAGAGTGTGACATTTGCAGTCCTGGTCTGCATTCAGGATTCAAACTACAGTAGAGTCCCAATTATCTGAACTAAACGGGACCGACAAGTGGTCGGATTACGGAAAATGTCAGATAATAGTGAGTACTGGGAGGGAGGGAGGGATAGCTGCTGGCGCCGCTTGGTCTCCATCCCTGCCTGGCCCTGGCCCCTTCTCTCCCTGCAGCTCCCGGGAGCAGCCAGGACAATTGCCCCACTTGCTGCCCCGTTGCTCTCACTGCCCCACCACTGATGCTGCTCCTGCCAGTACCACCCATCCCTGCCTGGCTCCGGGAAGGGGCCAGGCAGGGATGGAGATGAAGCGGAGCCGGCAGCAGCGGCACCAAGAGAGTGATGGGGCAGCGAACGGGGCAATTCTCCTGGCCGGCACCTGGGTGCTGCAGGGAGGGAAGGGACCAGGCAAAGATGGGGACAAAGTGGCGCTGGCAGGAGGCTACAATCCACAGGAGACTGCTGGAGCCTCTTCAGCCGGGAAGGCTGCATGTGGCATAGCAGCGCAGGGCGACTGACCTTAGGGGGGACATACTCACGCTATGCTCAGCTGACAATGGTCCGCGGCTATGTCGGATAAAGCGGAATGTCGGATTCGCTCAGCTGACAATGGTCGGATAAAGCGGAATGTCGGATTACCGAAGGTCGGATAATCGGGACTCTACTGTACATGGATGTGTTGCAGTACAAGGGAATCAGATAATAGAGGGGTGGTGAATGAAGGATGCAAATAAAATACTCCATAATGGAATAAGGAGACCTCACCCTTTTGAGAAGGAAGAAGCACAACTAGGAGGAAGCTGAAAATGAGAAATGATTGCAAGTCTCCTTCCGTGTTGCCCAGGATGATTACAGTTGCACTTCTAGTAAGGGGCAACATGGGGCACAGTTTACAAGGTTCCAGTATTTTGAAGGCAGAACAGCACTAGAATTCTGATCCACCGAGTTCCCTCATAAAGATTCCAAAACAGATTTTTATTAACTTATTTATTTTTTAAAGGAGGCCAGAGGGAGTTTTGTCCTCAGCTCCAATATCACCCGATTCTGATATGGGTGCACATACAGAAAGACTTTGGTTATACGCTTAAATTGATTTTAAAAACCCCATTTAGAGTGCTCAATAAACCAAATTAATTTATAAAATATCTATATTTCTAAATACCTCACCACAGTGGTTTCTAGTACAGCCACATTAAAATTATGATTCTCACTAACAATTTACAAAGCCACCATCTATATTTTATAACAAAAACTGCGAGATGCCACCATACACAATCACTTATATTAGCATGCATAACAATCACTTCAGATACAGTAAAAATATAAAGCCTCTGAAGACTTCTGTATGAGCCACCTATACTGTAGTTCTGGGTTTGTGTTTAAATTTAGATTTTAAATATAACAATAAAACAGATTACAGTATGCCTTACATGGAAATGTAAATCTGGAACAGTAAGCAGCATGTGTTTCAAGAAAACAAATGTGCATGTTGCATAGATTCAGGTAATTGAAAAATTCAGTGAGAAGCAATGTTCCCTCTAATTTTTTTCCATCCATGTGCAAAATAAATTTTGTGTCCCCCAGGGCATGTGCAGAGGTGCACCACCAGTAGAAACATATGCACATGCTGCAGGCGCAATGCTAGTCAGCTGGGTGGCACTTGAAGATCTCTTGTGTAGCCACCCAAGCTCTCAGCTTACAGGGAATACTCCTGAGAAGGCAGATTCAGGATCTTCTTCCACACTAAATAATAGCTTCCACCTCATACATGGATTTTTGATGGGGAAAACCAATAGGATGGGCAAGGGACCTAAAGCTATAAAAGGCAACTTTTAAAAACAAAGCACATTCTAAGGCCCTGACTAACTGGGTTTTCTGTTTGGGTTTGGAGGGCTTGTTTGGCGAGGGGGGAGTTGGTGGGGGAGGGGGAAGTTCCCGCCTTGGGAGAGGAGGAGGAGGGCAATAGCTTTTTGAAGGAGGGGATTGCTCACTGGTATCACACAGGAACAAACCCCTGCATGGATGGGATACACTAGTGGAAAGATGGGGCGTGCACCAATGTGACTCATCTTGCCTAATTACTGGGGTAGATAACACAAATGCTGAATATTTACATCAGTGTTGCAACATCAATCTAGCCACACAGGTGCAAATTTCCATAGTGTAGACAAGTTCCAATATTACCAGAAAAAACACTCCCTTTTGTAACATTAAACAGAAATATAGAAAGCTGCATTATACAGAATTTTAGAAAACTCTTACATGCACTTTTAACAATATTCCTCTCTCCTTCTCTCCAGTTCTCCCTGCAAATCCACATAACATGGACAAATTTGGTACAGAAAGGGTCAAGGGAATCTTCCACCTAAAGCTATTTGTGAAAGCTTCTTCAGACAGAGAAAGTCAAACTTTTTAGGGCCTAGTACCAAAGTCTCCAACACCGCTAATTATTTAACTACTAAGCTTTTCCTTTTCCTGTTAAAGCACCACACCCTGGCAACCTGTAGTACTCAGAAAGGTGTTTACACTAAACTCCACACACATTTTGTACTCTGATGTTAACCAATAAAGCCATGCAACTAATTGGCACACAACAAAATTCCTCCAAAATAGTTTATAAAACATGTCTTAACATAACTTCCAGACTGTCAACTAATTATAAAAATATTAGAGTCCAATAAATTTATGTCACAAAAATATAAAATCCAAAATTGACTGTGACTGAATTTATTTTAACTCACATTCTTGTGAGACACAACTGTTTAAGCACTGGTAATAAAAGGAGTGATCCCTTCTATATACATGCTCTTGTTTACAAAAAGCAAGAAATAAAAAGTAACATATTGAAGTGACAAGGACTCCTTGTCCCTTTTGCAGATCCAGACTAACAGGGCTACCCCTCTGATATTGAAGTGATGCATTTGGAACTGACTTTTTGGTAATCAAAGTTCTTTTCATTTTTAAAGGAGACTGTAATATGATAGTGACAACAAAACCAAATCAAATGTAGTTGAAATAGCATAAAGAAACATTTATATTTTTTCTTCGAGATTAAAAAAATTGGAGTATTTTTGCAAAGCCTGTGTTTATAGCCTACACCCATAGTGGCGCTAAACCTAGTATAATAAAATGTTAGCCTTTCCCCTTAAGAGGCCTAAGGACATTATGGTATTAAAAAGCAGTATTTCATCTCTATATGGAGGCCCATCTCTCTAAGCGCCTATGAGACATGTGGTCAAAGCATAAATGTGCAAAATAACGTTAGGAAAAACTAGTGACCCTATTTGTTCCTTTAATAAGAATATGAATAAATTGATTCAAATTTGTGAACCATCTATCTAAATTTTAAATGTTGCATTTTACTCAGTGTCTTCACTCAACTGCTTGCTAAAAAGATTGCTTTAATTAACAAGAAATATGCAGATTTTGTTGATTAGGCCTCTACTTCACAAAATAAATACATTACAGTTCAGATAACTTAATTTTTAAATAATAATTGGCTTGGGCCTTGAATTCCCACAATAATCAAATGTACTTACCATTCATACCAGTCACATATTATGAAACTGACTGATTATATTCGTGTATTTTAACACTATTCTACCAAGGCCCTGGAGCAGGAAAAAATTACAAGGACTGCTCAGTGGAGAAATGACATCTACATCCTTCTTTCAAGGACACTGCAGCACATTACCCAGCTTTTTAGGGATTATATCCTTCAAATTTTACTAAGACTCCACTGTTTTTTTAAAACACCCCACATGCACTAGACAAGAGATTCCCTTTATTCAAGCAAATATTTCCGATTTTGTTCCATTCAGCTTCTCTAACCAATATTTTCACCAAGTGGAAGCACATGTCGGGCTCTAGCAACACAAAAGCTATCTGTGAACAATAATTTGGCCATTTGGGAGGCAAATACGCGGTTTCTGACTTACCTTTTTGACCTGATCATCCTTTAATTCTGTGAAGTAATAGGCCAGAAGCTGGGCAGCTATCATCCTGTCTGATTAAGCAAGATAATGGAAGGGTTTTGCTGAATACTGAGGCAGCCAGAGCACCGATACAACTCTCACAGGGACGATTTAAAGGGATCTCTTTTCCCCCCCCTTGCTCGGAAAGCGCCCAAATTACAGAAAGGCGGCGGCGGCGGCTGCTACTGCTTCCTTCTCCGCTCCCCCCGCCAAGCAAAAGGATGCAGAGGCTTTTTCCATACAGGGGCTAGTGACAGAGTAAAACCTGCCCACTTCCTGCGCGGGGATTGGCTGCTAAAGGAGGGCTCTGCAACATGAGGGAAAAACCAGTCTCCCGTGCGCCCTGACGGGCAGGCTGTGCAGAAACAAGCGCCCCCAAAGTGATGCAGCACGGCACGTCCCCCACGTAGGTTACTGCCAGTGCGTCTGAGCGCCCGTCCGTGTGGTAGCGAGAGAGGCAGCCACACCGGCGAGC